TGGGCGTCCCAGCCGGCCGAGTAGCGGGTGCGGGGGTGGCGGGCGGTCAGCGCGTGCTCCATGCAGTCTGTCGCCAGGGACAGATCCGCACTCAACTTTGATGGCAGACTTTCAACTTTTCTGAGGTCTGTGCAAAAAGACAAGCAACATATTCCTTGACTCCGTTGCTTTCTGGGCTTCTGATCACCTCCTCACTGAGGTCACTGCCTTGGGGTCACCGGGAACTCTCACCCCGGACGTGTCCACAGGTGCCCGTGGGGCATATGCTGGGGGCAGGCACAGTGCACAGTCTCCAGACCCTGGAAATGTCTGCACCTGCCACCAGCTGCTCCAGGTCACCCTGAATCCCCCGCTTGGCTGCGCTTTCCCCCCAGATGATGGGGGGTCCCATGGGACGTGTGCCCAGATCCACAGGCCTGGTCCTTTGTCGTGACCAGGTGACCATGTGGGGCCCGTGTGGTGGGTTGCAATGTCCCCCAAAGGTGAGTCAGCCCCGACGTGGACCTGAGACCCCAGGGGACACTACGCGGGGACCCACTCCAGCTGTGCTCTCGCCCCACGGCCCACGGCTCACTCACGGGACATCAGAAAGGTTTCGCCGTAGAACTCCTTGACCTCGGGGCTGGCCTGATCCCACGCATCTCGGGCGCTCTGAGACATGAGCTTAATATTGGCCATTTCGGTCTTGAAGTGGCCCGGCTCGATGATGGCCACCTTCACCCCGGAGAAGGAGAGCTCCCTCCTGCAGGTACATAGACACAGGGCAGGCGCAGAGCCAGACACCCTCTCCCAGGATCAAGGGGATCGACAGCAACATTTGGCCAGTCAAGACAGGGACAAAACATTTGCGAAGATGAGGCCCTGCCTGGTGTCTCAAAGGGTCAAAGCGCAGTGCTATTCGAGCGTGCAGGGAGTGACCGGCAGGGCAGAGCAGACCCCTCCTGTCTCCCTGCTGATCCCCACAGCGCGTTAATCAGTGGATCTGCCTGCTCTGTTCCCGGCTGTCTCTAGTGAAATCTCTCATCACCCCTCACCTTTGGCCTGTACCCCTGTTCTGCATGTATGAATAAATAAATCTTCAAAAGAAAAAAACTGCGGTGAGGACATGAGCTCTGCAGGAGTCCTGCACAGTGTCCAAACCTGCGTTCCCCAACTATCATCTCTCACCTCACCACGGGGGCATGTGGCCATCCCCTCCTACAGGACCACCCTGCCCACTGCCCACTTGCCCTACAAGGCCTGGCTCCTGGCCTTGAGCCATCAGAGACTCTACTGGCTGTGATGGATGCCAGGGGGGCCCCGGGTCCCTGGGGGCCCGCTCCCCCCACAGGCCTCCAGTTTCCTTCCTCAGGTCTTTCCGCCCCAGCCAGGAGGCCTCTTCCCCCACAGGCCTCCAGGCTCCACCCTCGGCTCCTCCCACCCCAGCCAGGAGGCCCCTCCCCCCACAGGCCGCCTGGCTCCAGTCTTGGCTCCTCCCGCCCCAGTCAGGAGGCCCTCCCCCAACTGGCCTCCAGTCTCCACCCTCGACTCCTCCCACCACGTCAGGAGGCCCTTCCCCCCACAGGCCGCCAGGCTTGTCTTGGCTCCTCCCACCCCAGCCAGGAGGCCCCTCCCCCCACAGGTCACCAGGCTTGTCTTGGCTCCTCCCACTCCTGTCAGGAGGCCCCTCCCCCCCTGGCCGCCAAGCTCCACCCTCGGCTCCTCCCGCCCCAACTAGGAGGCCCCTCCCCCACACTCAGGCCTCAGGCCAGTCCTCAGGTCCTTCAGCCCCAGCAGGCCCTGTCCCAGGACTCCTCCAGAGATTGCTGGCTCCCGGCTCCCGTCAGTCAGCTCAGTCAGCTCAGCCACAAGGACTCCGGGACTCCGATGCCTGAGACAGGCAGATGCCCCTCTCCTGCCCCTCTCCACTGTCAGTTATTGGTCAAAGAATAAATCGTCCGTCCCACACTTGCACTCCAGGTGCTCAAACCCTCCCAGGAGCGTCTCTGAGAACCCGCATGAGAGTCGGGGCCAGACGATGCCCCTCAGGCCTCCTGGGCTGTGAGACGGGAACTGCCCGTGGTTGTGGGCACAGTCATCCCGGTTCCAGTTCTGCCTCAGACACTTTCTGAGTGGGCCCTGGTCAGCGGGATGAGACAAAGTCCATAGGGCTGTGCCATCCTGACCCAGCGGGAAGGTGCTCTCAGAGGAAGGACCGAGTGAGCGGGGTCCAGAAGGAAGAGCCTCCCGTGTGTATGAAGCGAACCCCAGGGTCGGGCTGCCTGGACAGGGGGGCTGTGGGCATGCAGTACCTGAGGGAGTCCGAGAAGGCCTCGAGGCCAAACTTGGAGATGCAGTAGCCGCCACCAAAGAGGGACAGTCGGCCTCCGATACTAGACACATTGACGATGCGGCCCCTCGCCTTCCTCACCAGGGGCAGCAGGCCCAGGGTCACCTCGATCAACCCCAGCAGGTTCACGTCCAGGACCTTCATGAAGTCCTCTTTGGTCAGCCACTCATTCGGTGCTGATGGCACAGCAGTGCCAGCGTTATTGACCAGGCCCCAGAGTCCTGGACAGAGAGGGAGAGAGACTGCACTTCTGTTCTGTGCCCTGAGGGCCCACACTGGCGTCCCCTCACCCCTCCATCATGCCGGGTGGCAAGGGGAGTGGGTGGAGCAGGGTTTACAAACTGCCTGCCGGGGACAGGACCCCCTGAGCCCTGCAGGACACACGTCAGGCCCGAGGGTCGGGGCTGTAATAGCTGCAAGGCCTGGTGGACGTGGCGCCCTCCTCCTGCGCTTCAGACGTTCGGGCCCATCTTTGGAGACTCACCCCCACAGATGGGGAGAATCTGAGGGGGAGAATCTGAGGGGGAGGAGGAGGAGTACACTGGCATTGGATACACAAATGCTGGGTACTGATATTTCAACTCTTTGGGCAGGTCCTGGGAATGAGGCTGTCATGTCTCTTGTCACCAGCAAGACATGGAGAGTGTCAGGAACCCAGAGATGTGAGATCCTCCGGCGGCGTCCTGCTCCCTTATAGAGGATCCAGGGTCCTCCCAGGGAGCAGTGCATGCTGGGTGAGGAAGGAACCCCCACCCAGCCCTGCAGGTGTAATCACATGGGGGTAGATGCTCCCCAAAATGCAGGCCCTAGGTGGGGAGCACAGGGGCCATGGACAGAGAGGAGAATCATCCCCTGAGCTGGCTGAGCTGAGGACAGTGCGTGAGAATTCAAGACCTAAAGCAGATGGGACACCCCACGCTGCAGGTAAAGGTCTCCCTTGCACAGGAGGAGGACTTCGGGGTATCAGTGCTACCTCGGGTCCCCGTGTGCTCCTTCGCCCACTGGACAGCCGCAGCGATGCTCTCAGAGTTGGTCAAGTCCAGGATCACGGTCTCCAGCCTTTGTGACACCTGCTCCTTCAGCTCGTGTGCCCCCCGCTCCGTCAGGCAGGCAGCCAGCACCCTCAGGCCCCGCCGGTCCAGCTGCCGGGCCAGCAGGTGCCCGAAGCCCGAGTCACAGCCCGTGATGAGGACATACTTGTCGCTGAGGTTGCTCACCACCTGGCGCTCCCGGAGCCAGCGCACAAGGTAGTACAGGCTCACGAGGGCCAGCAGGAGCTGCCACATGGCACGCAGGGGCCACGCCGCGGGCTGCAGGAGAAAGAGACTGAATCAGGGTTCTGGCTGCAGGCTCCCTGGCACGGAATATTCAGTTCCCCCCCGTTAGCGCCTCTGGAGCTCTTTCTGTCTCGGCGCTCTTTGGACTGTGTTGTGAGGACCGAGAGGCCCTCGACAATCTCATTTCCTGCCCCCCCAAAACATTTCCTTCAACAGGCCCTGTCCCCTCTTTGTTACAGCCCCCATATTGTGTAGGTCCCGACATCCCCTCGGAGAAGGAATTCACCAGAGAGCTTCAGCTGGAACCGGTGAGTTTCACGAGAGGATTTCGCCCTAGAAGAAGCAAGGCAGGACTGGAAGAGAAAAGACGAGCCTCTCTGGAGCTGGCGCGAGGAGCCAGGAGCCAGGAGAGGCTTTAAGGGGTAGGCCGCCGGGTGTGGCCAGGGAGCGTCACCATCACGAGCCCTGGCCTGGGCCACTGGGGTGCGGGCACAGCCTCCTGCTTATTGGCATTTGCCAGCTGTGCAAAGCGCTCAGGGAGTCCAGAAGCACCTCAGGCTGTGAGGAACGGCTCAGCCCACGGGGTCAGGTGGGTGTGCTCGGCGTAGATAAGGCCCACTGACCACCTCACCCTCCGTTTCAAAGAGCACCTGGGCAACCTCATCTCTGGTTCACAGGTCCCTCTCCCACGTCTTGTCCCCCACGCCTTCCTGTGACCCGCGTGGCCGCCAGGGCCCACAGCCCACTCAGCCCCGGGCAGGCAGAGCTGCTTTACCCCACGGAGCCCTCTGGCGGGACCCCGGGCTTCCTCACCTCAGGCTCACTAGGTGGCTCTGTAATTGGTTGAGACATGTTTAGTCAGACCCGGGAAATCCTGGCTGTCCTGCCCTGGAGCTGCCCACAGGTCCGTTCTGGACAAACCGAGTCTCTCAGCCCCCTCCAGGATTAGAAGGAAAGGTTAAGTTTTCTCCTGCCAAGGAGTGTTCTGGGGTTAAAGGTACTGTGGGTGGTAAAGTGGTGTCTGTTCTCAGAGGCAGGAAACGGGAGGGAGAGATGGAGCGTTGCTGGGAGGACTCACAGCAGCAGGTGTCCCAGGGAGTCCCCATTTGATGCCCGTCCCTGCTGCTGGGAGGGTTCATGGCCTCTGCCCCCCCTGCCCAGCCACTTCTCACCCAACCTCAGATGCGGAGACTTAGATGGAGAAGACTGAACTTGAGCAGCTGTGTGTCTCCCACGGCGAGGTCCTGGGGCCCGGGAGGGGAAGGGCATCCAGTCCCCAAATCAGGGTGACATGGAGAGGGGGAAGCGGTGGGGAGTGGGGTTGGGGCTGGCATTAGGAACCAGGCACCGAGGCTGACACCAAGCAGTTTGTGGCTCCGGCACTGTCTCAACCCCACAACGTGCTGAGCCCCAACGAGGAAGCTACCCGCTATACAACTTTCATGTTGTTCACAGCCGGTTAATGGTTAACGTGTAACGGTTCGCAGCCAGGCCTGGGCTGAGGTGAAGTCCAAGAAAAGTGGCCAGTTGCTTGTCACAGGACCTAGCCGCCTCTCCAACTCCTGCTCAGGACTGGGCGCCAGTGTTACCCTGCGGGGCGTCCCGCTCTCTGTTCACATATCACAACTCTGTGGATAAGGAATGGCAGACCACGTGGGACAGGTTCCCACAAACTAGGTAATGCCAGAGTAATGCCAGAGCGGCCACCAGCTCGGCAGGCCCTGTGTGGGTGCCGCTACTGTATGAGGCCCAGAGTATAGCACAGGCAGCAGCAGCTGGCAGCCTACTCACACAGGAGACTGTTTTTCTGCCAAAGTTTCATGCATCCTGGGATCACAGCACCACCACACCGATGTGGTCAGGGCCTCAGATGCACTGGGGTACTCAGGGTCCTACCCAGCACACAGTGGGTACTCAATACACGTGAGCAGGACCCAAAAGGAGGCGGAGGGATATCCACTGGGGGACAAAAATTTGTATGTGTGAGG